ATCAATCGTTTGAAGAGAAATTCACTTTATTGGATGTGCAAGATACTGGCAGGGTGCCTAGGACTATACAAGCGAACGATTGCTCTACTTAACAGTAGTCTTTGGTTCAAAAAGCGGACCGCAAGTCAGCGGGGGCTTTGGCACTGTGGTAGAGGGAAGGGGGTTTTACGAACTAAGTAGCCGCACTCACTTCAACCACCAATGTGGAGGGCCAGGAGACTGAGATTTTCTGTCCTCTAACCCTTGGCTAATCTTACATGAGTGGCACTGAAGTTGCAGAATTACCACGCGTCATAGGTCAACAACTAGTAGATGAACGCAAGTCATCGCACCACGTTGAGATGCAGTCTCGTCGGGATGTTTCAATTTATTCATTCGGGGATCACTTTCTTTTGTTTGAACGATAGCGGTAACCCTGGTGTCAAATTAGCCATAACGCTTACGAGTGAGAGTACTTTAAACATAAAGAGCTATTCATTTCATTTATGTGCTTTGGCCTCTAGTTCCCTTGGATTTTGATGCACGGGGACTCCATAGACAACGATCGGTTATGTATCACTCTATTCAGTGAAGTCCTCAAGAGTTTATTTGCGTTTCTGACCTTCTTTCCATGGGGTATTCGGAAAACACGAGCAGTATATCGAGCGATACAGGAGAAAGTAACTGACAAGAGAACTGTCTCTGCGTCAACTCCTGACCGAAGCGTTAGTTGGAGTAACCGCGGTTCATTTAAGCGTACTGTTTTTATGACGGACAAGGTGATTCACACTGACTGATTTATCTTGGTCCACCATTAGTTGACACGGGGTACCGCAGCTTCCGATCGTCCAGCGGTTTATCTTTTATAGAGTAAACTTTGGATTCAGACACACTGACACAGATAACGGTCAGATAATATTGAAGTTGTCTGACGGTCTCTCTTTTGTAGGGATGTGTAGCTGCTTTCTTTGGTTAGACAATAAATGAAAGCATACGTCTCGCCGTAGCAGTGGCAGTACTCATCGCATGGAGTTCGGAAGCGGTGCACCTTCTAAATCTTGTTTGTTGCAGGGTTCATCTGAGTAGAATGGAACCAAACCTAGTCAGACGAACTGGTGGTGGTGCTAACACACGTTAATTACTGTTCTGCGTAGTAAGCAAGAAGGGGAAAACATCCATCCAGTTCCACAAGTTGTGGTTCACTTTGAAGACAATGTTACATGGTTCACCTCTCCCTAGTGCAATTGTGAAGTGCTCACTATAAGCGTTTGCTGGCGTGTCAGCATGGTGTGGCAGGATAGTGTGTTAAATGGGTTTTGGAGCTCGGTCTATTGATCGCCTCGGACGGTGTTGGATGTCAAAACGGCATTGTCCAGATGCTGAGTGGGTTTCACTGCACGGAAATTTCATCTTACCTTCTTTCTGCTCCACGCCGTGGTGAACTGGAACTAGTGAGGACTCGTTCGAACACCGTTGCTATGCTGTATCTGTTGAGATCAAAATGGTGTTAGCCGATTGAGTTAAGGCAGTACTGTGTAAGGGGGTATGGGTGAAACACAGTTCGAAATTTACCATGACTGCTAATTGTAGTATATACCAGTGGTGACCTCACGCAAATGGTATAACGAGGTAGAGCCTGTCAACTCAACGCGAATAAGTACAAATTCAGAGGTGTGCGACAAAATGCGACAGATGAGTTCAGAAGCATCGTGGATGCACGAATGTCCGGCCAGTAGACGCGTACTGCCGAACGATCAGGTGTGGTTTGTCCAGAGAATGACCTATATTTGGTGGATAATACCAAGATCAGAAAAGTTACAGAGTTAGGAACACTTAAGTAACCCAACGTATATGTAGGGTCGTGATCCAGAATTCATAGTTCCAGTAGACATGAATTCACCAAAGCCCACTGGATGATGACGTTCAATAAGTGGCCCCTTCGCACCCCTATACTAAAAGCACTTCACTGATTTGAATTTTGAAGGGACCAAGTTGTGGACCGGAAGCACTGATCATTTGTATCGATGCTACTAACGGAGAAAATTGCGGATCATATTCGCTCGAAATGTCTTGGGTTGAGGTTTATATAACCATGCAGCCCACGACCCAGTATGTTCGTCTCAGCTAAACCCCATTTAAAGTAGACGGATCGTTCTTATCAGTGCAGTGCAGTTCTCGTTATCAACTCAGTGTACTGGAAGAATGGATTCCTAAGCCTACTCAACCCCTGTCCGACCGCCTACCGACGGCTGATGTCATTAGACTGACACACTTTGCCTAGTCTGAATTGAATTAGACGCACATTGTTGCTGTCAAAGGGTAGGTTACAACCAAGTTTGCAAAAAGTATCCTTATGGAACTGTCTGGTTACAACAATGACGCATGTTATGCGGCACAGCACTCAAAGGCGCGCTCGAACAAACCGGGGAAACCCCGCGTTGTTTGCAATTATGCCAAAGCCTGCCAAGGCAGGTCATTGCTGGAAGAGGTGCACCTTGAGAACGGCTTCCTTGGCGTTCTTCTAAACGTGAGGACGGGGACTGGGGAGCTACTTGTAGATATGTAGACCATTTTTCAGTAAGGTGTGATGATATCAAAAGCTAAAATATATGCGCTTCCTGTGGCGGCCGAAGGATTTATTGCAGGAATCACTGCAATTGTATCGCATTACCGTTCTCCCATTCGGCGCACATTCGCCACCAAGATATGCTTCATTTTATCTCGGAGGATATACCGAGGACTACAGGACTGACTATCAATCAGACATTGATACAGTAACGGATTTGCATAAAAGATAGATAGTTCAACCGCAGTAGCCAAGGTAGGCAAACACAGGTAAATGAAATTACATCCCCGGGAAGATTGTGCTCAAGGAAATGAAATTACAGCAACTACCAAAACTTGTATGAAATGACAACGCTTGTGTTTTCCACTGAGTCAGTTCGACACAAGTGTTAGTACGGTAGTGAACACTTCAGTTTTTGAATGAAATGAAATTCCTTAGAGAAGGTTTATCTTTAAGCTGGTGGATTTCGAAAAGTAGTATTGATTGATATTCAATCTGCCTAACGCTTGTCGCTGTGGCGCCAGGTGGAGACAATAGTTCCTATCCTCCTGAAGGATGCTCAGCTGGATACTCGATACTCAGCTTGTCAACGACGAACTTAAGCAAGCGACAGTGAACAAGCTGGAAAAAATAATCAGGTAGGGAACCTTTGTACCCAGATTTGGTCATCTCGATGAGTTTACCGAAATATCAGAGAAAACTTTCGACGTTAACGGTTGTCAGCATCCTGGACCGCGATCACAAGCAGGTATGCAACCGACTTACGAATTAATAGCGTCAAGTTCAGTGGCATACCGGCGAATCAATAAAGGATATTTGTCGTATCAATTGTCAACTATACAACCTCGTCAAAATGTGCATAATAACTGGTGCAGTATAAGGACAGATTGTTCTGGGTTTAGTTGCTGATATATGCATAAAAACAGGCCCGCAGCGAGAGGACGTGATTGAAGAGGTGATAGCTGAGCGTGTGAAAAGTGAACTATGGTATGCATAACAGAAGGAACATTTTACAGATTCGTAAGATAAAACCTACCTGTTATAGGAAGCGATGCAAAAATCGCCAATGGAGGGTGAATTCCTAATTAGCCGACCACATATTTACATCATGCTTACGCTGAGATCTTGGCAGCAGCCTTTAGTGCTCTTGAGCCATTTTCACCTGCACGACAACATGGCTCACGCAGGGAATGGGTGGCAAATTATTGGTATGACAGCAATGTCGTTATCAATGGTGGTAATTGTTGTATCAAGAAAGAACCATGGTGAGAAGGCCTAAACTTGGATGTTTATTGAAGCGGGATGGGAAAACGAATGATCCTCATTCAAATCGACATTCATTTTCAAAATATGAGGATTTCTCGAGATTACCAGTTCGCTCTGTAACTGAAGAAAATACCCTCACCGCATTCTTCATCATCGCTGAGCTTGCGAATTCCGACTTTACTGCACGGAAACAATCCTTCAGATTTGTCATGAAAGGCGAAACCCTCGGTCTACCCTCTTCAACACTGTGACAACAGTCTAATGAGTTGCATAAAGTTTACCAGAATTTTTTGAAAATTCCTAGAAGGCCAAGATGGACTCAATAAATGATAGCAAAACAACTGAACCAGTTGGAGAAGGAAGAGATGTTAATTTGAAACGTTCCTTGGCTAATTTGGAACAAACAAAGGGCGTAGTACTGACTCCGTTTGAGAAGAACATTGAATTTTGGCGCCAGTTATGACGCGTTACGGAGCGCAGTGATATCCTGATGCAACTCGTTGATGCCCGTCAGCCTCTGTTGTACTACTGCTCTGATCTGGAAGTGTACGCCCACGAGGTCGATTCGAATAAAGTGTGTATCGTCCTTGTGAACAAGGCCGATTGCCTCACTCCAAAACAGTGCTAATTGTGGAGTGTGTAGTTCCACAAACGGGGGATTTGTGCTATATTTTGGTCCGCAACCGCAGCTGTTTCATCTCGAGAAACGTACAGTCTCAACAATCTGGATTATATCAATGGGAGCCAGCCTACGGAATCGGATTACGAAACAGATAATGCATCGTTCAACAGTGACGGTAGCTGCTCCATCCCCAAAGCTGGCAGCGAATCTGAAGAATACCCGGTTCGTCCCACTTTTTCTTCGACCGTTAACCACTCAGCTTCTGATGCAATAAATGCAGCGGCAGAAACATCTGCACCTGGATTTCAGCCGGATGGTCGCCTACTGAAATCCACGGAACTTCTAGACTTGTTCTCCAAGCAGTTGTATCCATCAAACCGACAAATTCGAGGCTCCCAGCTCACAGTAAGTTTTGTCGGTTACCCAAACGTTGGCAAATCCAGCACGCTGAACACTCTATTTGGACGAAAGAAGACCGCTGTCTCTGCCACTCCAAGTCGCACGAAACATTTTCAGACACTGTGCGTCCGTCCCGACTTTATGTTGTGAGATTGCCCTGGACTGGTGATGCCCTCATTCGTGCATTTCAAGGCCGATCTCGTAGTTGCCGGCATCGTTTCTATCGACGAAATGCTTGACTGTCTCTCACCAGTTGGATTGGTTTGTGAACGCATTCCTCAATCCATGCTGGAGCTTAAATACGGTATCAAGCTCTCCAAACCCATTTTGGATATTCAACTACAGGGAATTGCAGAGGACAGCCCACCAACGCCACATGATCTACTCGCTGCACACGCTTTCTCCCACAGCTTCATGACAGCCAAGGGCAATCCTCATTATGACAGGTCCGCTCGAATCATCCTCAAAGATTACGTCCAAGGTCGCCTGTTGTATTTTCATCCACCACCCGGCACGGACCCACAGGCATTTCAGCTTCTCGGGAGGAATCCCGACAGCTTACCCCCTAGTTTAGCTCACACGGTTACCACAGTAATTTCATTACACCAATTTGCTTTGCGCTAATCATGCAACTAAAGGTTAAACTTCTACAAACGTCGTATTTACTATAAGGTTTGGATTGCGATGTTCAAAGAAACGAGTCATGTTAATTTAATAGTGTCGTAAAATTTGAATACAAAATACAATTCATCTAAATCCCTAGTTAGTTAAATCCTGGCCGGACAGCCACCCGATGCATCCTGGGAAGAAACTCCACCCCCTTACCGACCTAGTGGCAAGTGCGTCGGAAACCAAAATTCATGAGCTTAAGGGATTCAGCCCGGAGAGCTTATGAAGCCTGACGGAGTAATCCGGGATGGGTTTTGTCCACAAATAATAAAACCACTGTGTCAAGTTGACCTGGGATGGCAAATTCCGGAACCAACAGAACTTGTTGACCAAATGCAGCACTAATCCTAAGATGCTGTTTAGGTAGGTCAGCAAGCTCGGAGGGTGCAGCATATGATCCTTGCTCTAAGGGCAACAGATCGTCCTGGGCAAACTACACAAGGGGCGGCAAACGCGTTTCGCCAACATTACATCCACATTTTCCAGACTGAGGCAAATTCACGCCCGCTTTTTACACAGCTCACATCGACCCCGCGGTTAAACTAGGTACCGTTCAGGTTAACAAATGTCAAAGACTAATGTCATTGCGCGTGTATAGCTCTTCTGGCATGGACGAGTTCAAACCGAATGCACTGATGACAGCTGCCATGAACATTACCAAACCATTAGCTGGTTACTTTCCATCATGAACTGCTGTAAGTTAGGCTTCCACAAAGTAGATAAAGGGAATGCTCAGTCATACCTACAAGTAAAAATCATGCAGGACCCTAGAACTACAGTCCAATTGCCATTCTCTCACTGTTGTTCAAAGTAATGGGAGGTATTATTGCAAAGGTGCTCATGGGATATCTTGAGAGCAACAACGTCATAATTTCACAGTAGCATCGATTGTGCGGAAATCGGTCATGCACTACAGAATGCTGCTAATCTCTGCAAGGTAGACATCATCAGATGTCAGTGTAACATTAGATGTCGGCAACCTAGACTTTAATACACCGTTATACCGCCTTGAACACCACCTTCTCTTTCACAGGCTTCGAGGCTAAACTATCGGTGATCCTGTACGCGGCTGGATAAGCGATTTTTTCATTCAAATTCAACTGAATGTGAGGATCCGCAAGTCCATGTCTAAACCAGTTGAAATCAAGTGTGGTGTGCATCAACGATCTGCAATAGCACCATGTTTATTCCTCCTTGCTAATGTAGACAGTCTAACCTCTTGCTATTTTCAGTCGATTCCAAAATCTGGCATGAATCTGGCCCTGAAGCGCGATTTCGATAGGGCATACACGTGCTCATCCGAAAACCGGCTCCAGTTCAACGCAATAAAATGCAAAGTTCTAAGCTTACACCATTAGCTTGTCTATATCGACTTGGGGACCGAGAGTTACAACGTGCTTCCAAGGAAAGCAACCTCGGGTTGATTGTGCACGACGACGTTGGCTACTCGAAACAGGCCGGAAAGGCATTTAATGTGTCATTCAGCATCTTGAACTCTTATGGCGTTTTATAGGAAATTTCGAGCCATTAGGCGTTCTGTAAACCCCGAACGCCCATGTGAGGTCTTACTTGAAATAGGCGAGCTAGGTCTGGCGATGCTGGTTTAACTCGCACAAGCGCCACGTACATGCACCGGAAGCTCCACAACGTAGAAGGACCAATTTGGTTAGATGATTATTTCACCTCCCCCATTAACGCAGACTGCAAGCCCTGAGATTGTACTGTTGTGCTTATCGACGTCAAGAAACAGACATTATCATGATTTAATTAAAACTGACGAGCCCTAATCACGCTTCTCGTGTTCTGCTGCAGTTGAGTCGCAAAACCATACTAAGGGAAAATCAGCCCAAAGGGGCGACGCATTATAGTCGACCTGAAAGTCGACAAAATGTTTTCCCCCATCGGGTGCCCCCGAACATGGAACACCTTTCCAACCCATGTTATATTTTCCCCTACGTTAACACTGGTCAAAAACGCCTCTATGATGCACTTTCCCACTAACTTTACTTCATATGACCAGTTTCACTCGGAGGACGAAGTAACGCAATCAAAATCATGTGCCTGAAAGCCCCATCCGTAAAGTGAAAGTGACGATACGTGAACAACCTGGATAGACCCAAATAGAATGTCCTATCATAACAGTCTAATGAAGTGGCACAAGAGCGAACTTCGTCAACCATTTTTAGTATACTACACTTTGTGCGTGAAATATAACAGCCCCCCATATTAGTTTCAGTGCGCATATTCAATTCCCATTTCAAACAGTTGTTATGTAACGGTGTGGTTACATCGGTAGAAGTTTAACCTAACGACCCACCAATAATTTGATTTTATTATTTTTCACTTCACGCATCCTACGGGACTTGGCAAGCAACTACATTTTAACCGTGATAATTCATTGTTCATTGTTCGAGTGGTGGTCCCAGACAATCCACGATATCTCAGGTTCAATCAACCGGTTCAAACAAATGCGATAAAAACATGTGACACATGGACAACCATACGTTAAGGAATTACCTCCCGACATCTCAAAGGCTGTTGGAACAATTTTTCAGTCATAACTAAAGATCGCAGATTGCAGTAACAAGTAACCACTTCAGAACGGGGGGCTGCGCTATATGGAGTGGCTGACTTGTTAATTTCCCCTCAGCTGAGAACATATCGCGCAGACACCGCATGTATATCCACAACGACTTGTACGTCAAATGCATGATATGATTGACGGTAATCATAAGTTACATCTATCAATCAGTTTGGGTCTTGCTTATGGGTGCAAAGTAGCGCGCTTTTATCGCAAAAACTTATCGAAGTAGTAAGACAGTCGGCAGGTAAAATTGTGATGCTTATGAGTGGATTTCGTATAACATATTAACTTAAATGACTAGTGTGCGCGCAACGATATAGACATGGATTCACATCATGAAACGTCACACCGTAAATTGGTTTTACAAGCCACATTTAATAGTTGCATCACAGCATTTGTTTTGCGCAACACGAGCTTAACCGATGGCAACCAGCAGACACTGTAAAGGGTCTCCTAGTTCGAGTAGGTGAGAGTTGCTTGGACTCCAACGTTCTGTGTGTGCACACGGCAACACAGCGGCACGAAATGTGCAATAACAACAATAGTGATTGCCAGTCAATTTGCTGCTGTTCAGTAACTTACTCGCCCTATGTAATTCATATCTACCTTGGCGGTGAATTACATGGGTTGAGCAAGGCACGCACAGCATATCAGAGTCGCAGATCACATACCAACTTGTGTCGGAGAACGCACTGCACCATAATATATGCAACCAAACTCAATTATCGTTATAAGCCATGAGGTGCTAATGTTTATACTTTCTGACAAAAAACAACAATTGCAACAGCTACTTTACGTAAGCAATGTAATTGTGAGAACTTTGCAAGTTTATTCGATCTGAACTGAAGTCCGAATTATGCAGTCTATCGAACCATGACAATCCACTTAGAACTTCAGTCCACTTATTTGGCTTGTGCCTAACACTGTCGAGGAATATAAAATTAATATATTTATTTGCTTATCGATCATCACGGATAGCATAATTAGGCCAAATATCTTTCTTACTGGCGCAACCGCAAATTCGCGATGCTCTTCCTCTTGCGTCATCTGTCCTGTTGGAATCCTCAGAGAGACCGTGATTAAGATGCCATGGGATACAAAGTATTAGCCCATAACTTAGGCTTATGGATGGACAAAGCAGATAAGTTCTTACATTCACTAGTTCTTGCTCTATATCAATCGAGTCGAACACTCAGTTTTACCTCATCTAATTTGCTTCGAATTTCCTCCATGTGCTTCCTCATCACATTGTGTGAAGCACTTTCACTAACTTAATGCATGGGTGCCACACATATAACAACACTATATGCGTTAAATCTTATTGTTGCTGTCTTTTTATAATAAGAGCATGGTTATAATTATACTTGTTCAGTCCGTACTGGATTTTTTTACACTCCCCTTCCCTCGGATAGCGGCCACCATTCGGCTCTTTTTGCGTGTGTTGACAAGGTCACTTTTTTTGGAATTCTTCGTTCATTGGCAGTAGTTGGTGGAAATTTAGATACAATTCAGTTTCCTTATTGATTCTGAATTTTCCGACCAGAAATACTTGTGTTTTCATCGTTTGGTTTCGGTGCTCGTGCTATCGACATTTTCTCCAGCATCCGTCATTTTGTTTTCGGATTATTCAAAATGCCGAAGCAGTCACCCTGCGGTACTGGTTCCAAGATTGTAGGATCCAGTGATAAAGCCAAGTTACTTACCACATTCTATGTGTTGCGTTTTCAGTTGAGCATTTGCATCTTCTTCGTGAAAACCAACAGGATTTCGTTCAAACTGTATGTGGAAATTGCTGAAACAAGGTACAGCCAGGAAGATTAAATCCGACATGTAGGTTTCATCATTCCGTTGCGAATAACACCGTCTATTTAGCCCAACAACCTAACCTGAAGGGCTTTCCGGTTTCAGCTCAGTCTTCCTCCTCTACCAGTGAAAGCTCACCGACGATAAGTCTTAACGTTTTGAGAGGCCCAGTTTCACATGGCCTACATTGTCTGCTTTTGTTGTGTCCAACGGGCACTGATGTCCCAGCAGGTGAAAGCCTGAGTGCTGAAGACCAGTAGAAAGTACAAAGAATGAAATTAGGAGGGGATGTTGGACGTTTAACTACCCTAAGTAAACAGTTAGCCAAACCACATGAGGATGGTAAAATTCTTCGCCTTGCATTGTCAAACCTTTCCTACCAGAGGCTTTGTAACCTCCTGATTTTCCAAGCGCCGTAGTCCAGTGATCCATCACCCCAAGTGCGCTACGATCACGATGTCCAGGTTTTAAAGAGTCTGATTGACAAACTCCTCGACGCTGATGAGAACTCGGTAAAAGTGAAGCAACTTACTCGTCTTGGAAATCAAGGTGATCAACAAAATCGGTC